GCTGCTCGGTGCCCGAGGGTCCCTTTCCAGGGCATCTGGTGGACGTGAGCGGCACCGGGACCCTGTCCCAGAGCTACCAGTACGAGGTGTGTCTATCGGGAGATTCCGGGACAAGTGAGTTCAAGTTCCTGAAGCCGATTATTCCCAACTTCCCTCCTCAGGGCACTGAGAGAGAAATGGAAGAAACCCCCACCTTTCGGAATAGCTTCCCATACAGTTAAGTGTGGGATTATTTTACTAAATTTTACTATTTTAACTTAAAGTTACATGTTATTGATGGTCTGTTTCTTGCTTATTTTACCTCTATTCTTTAGGTTGAAATTTTTTATTAAAGATAGTGGGTATCTTAGTATTTCCTGTTCATGCTTAGTAGTTTATTACTTCACTGGAGGGTATTTGACAAAATGAACAGAAAGTAAATTTTTAATTGCATATTTAAAAATTTTTGAAATTATCTATTCTCCCCCCCCCACCCCCAACCCCGGCAAAGCAATGTATTCTAACTCCTTAAGTAAAATTGTGTTTCTAGCTATGGGTAAGGGTTGTTTCACTATTGCTATGTAGGACTGTTTTTAAAATGTGAGCATTTCATATTATTTAATCTTCCAATGTCTCATTTTGTGGTAACTCCTACAGCAGTGTGTAACACTAAAAATAAGAATAGTAGCTAAAACACTAAGGTAGCCCTTCATACTTGTATTTCAGTATCCCATAATGATCAATTCATATTTTCTGTGAATATAACTTTACTGAAGGGTCAACAAGTCAGTTTGTGAGCCTCTTGTAAGAACCTAATGGTCTTTAAAAAAAAATCATGCCAATTATAAGTGCTTAATAAATATTTGCTGAATGTTACTAACATTCTAATGTTGATTAAAAAAACTATAGTATCTACAAATGGAGAAATGCTAATATCCTCTTTACAATAAAATATCCTTGCCAATGAGTGAAAGTATGAAACATCACTCCCTACTCAAATCACTCTTGCTTTCCTCCAAAACAGAAAACACTCTTCACTCTTTTACTCACCCTACATACCATTATAGAAAATAAAATACTTAGCACATTTTATCTTCGTCTTTGTCTAACAATTTGAAAATTTAAAAGCTTTGAAATTATATTTGCCAAACTTCTCCTCTCACTTTCTCAAGATATTTGATATCTGCCAAGATCTAAGTAGGGTTTTAGTGGCAGGTTATTCGGTAACATCAGATTTTCCCTTACAGTGTTGTGTAGCATCATTTGCCTGTATTAACCATAATACCATTTACCTTCACAGTTTAGCCCATAGTCTTATCTGTGTCAGTTGTATTTGTGATATTTCATGTAAAAATCCCTCTTTCAACTTTCTATCAAAGGCAAGCAATGTATATTAAAATGGCAATTCAGTGATTATTTTATTTTTATTCTTAATTGAAGTGGAACTGGGCTGACCTAAATTATATTTGACTGTGTTTTGTGTCCAGATAAGTGAACTCACTGTCATGGATGAATACCAACTTTATTGGCAGTGAGTGTGGGGAACATTTACTGTTTTGTGTTCTCAGATATATACCCTCTTCTCCTTAGAATAGCATTCTTCTTTGGTGAGACTTCTTCCTCCATTGTTCTCACTCCAGTCACTTGGCTTTAGCTGGAGCTGTAGTGTTTTCCAATATTCCCATCTCCTTAATCCTAGAGAATGTACTGGGGTGCTGTCCTGTCCAATGCAGACAGGTCAATACCCTTCCCCAGAAAGTGTGTTTTCGACTTTGTCAACTTTGTTGTCTTCTTTATGACTGTAAAAAAAAAAAAAAAAAAAAAATTGCCTAGTTTTTGTGGATTTTATTTTTTTTTTTTTTTTTTTTGAGATGGAGCTTGCTCTGTCACCCAGGCTGGAGTGCAGTGGCATGATCCTGTCTCACTGCAACTTCCACCTCAAGTGACTCTTCTGCCACAGCCTCTCAAGTAGCTGGGACTACAGGTGCATGCCCTGTGGTAGAGATGAGGTTTCACTGTATCGGCCAGGCTGGTCTTGAACTTCTGGCCTCAAGTGATCTGCCCGCCTCGGCCTCCCAAAGTGCTGGAATTATAGGTGTGAGCCACCGTACCTGGCCTATATTGATTTTTAATAAAACAAATTGCCATTTTTCTCTAAACTCGAAACTTCACTGTGCATTGCACATAATGAATTTATGAAGGAAAAAAATCCCAATGAGTGGCCAGATATAGTAGCTCACACCTGTAATCCCAGCACTTTGGGAGGCCAAGGTGGGTGGATCACTTGAGGTCAGGAGTTCGAAACCAGCCTGGCCAATATGGTGAGCATAGTATCTACTAAAACTACAAAAATTATCCAGGTGTGGTGGCTCGTGCCTGTAGTCCCAGCTTCTCAGGAGGCGTGGTGGCGTGAGCCTGTAGTCCTAGCTTCTCAGGAGGCTAGTCAGGAGAACGGCTCGAACCTGGGAGGTAGAGGTTTCAGTGTGCCAGGATTGTAGCCACTGCACTGCAGCCTGAGTGACAGAGTGAGACCATATCTCAAAAAAAAAAAAAAATCCCCAATGGTTATGTAGACCAGAGACTAACAAGAAATAATATTTTTATTTTCTTTCAGGAGTTACAGGCACATTACAATTTGAGAGGGGAACTAGATTTTGATGAAAGTTCGTAATTTATTCCAGTACAATAGAACAAATTAGTATTTTTGTAACAGAATGTAAATTTTCCAAGAACAAGAATTTTTATGTTTCATTTACTGTATTACCCCAAGAAGCTACAGGTAAATACTTAATAAATGAATTTGCCTGGAGCAGTTTTGTGTACTGAACTTTCACCTTTAGAATGAAGATGAATATAGGTACAGACATTACTTTTGCTGTCAGAACTATTGTTAGCTACCTGAACAAGACCTCATAATAGGTGGGGGGAAAGGGAGTATAAAACAGGCTATGACCTAAAAGGCCTGCTTTGAAATGAAAATTACCGCTGGGCACGGTGGCTCAAGCCTGTAATCCCAGCACTTTGGGAGGCTGAGGCGGGTGGATCACGAGGTCAAGAGATCGAGACCATCCTGGTCAACATGGTGAAACCCCGTCTCTAT